ATATGCTACTACCTCTTTCTCCCTTGCTGCCTTTAGGATTCTCTGTTTGTCTTTGATATTTGCCATTTTAATGATGATGTGTCTTGGAGTGGGCCTCATTGGGTTCCTCTTGAATGGGACTCTGTGCTTCCTGGACTTGTGTGACTTTTTCTCTTCTCCAATTAGGGAAGTTTTCCATCATCACTTTTTCAAACAGGTCCTCTAGCCCTTCCTCCTCTTCTTCTCCTTCTGGTATCCCTATTATATGGATATGATTACGTTTCAGGTTGTCCTGCATTTCCCTAAACACCTCTTCATTCTTTTTGAGTCTTTTTTCATTTTCTTGCTCTTTCTGGCAACTTTTTTCTACCTTATCCTCCAGCTCACTGATTCAGTCCTCTGCTTCATCGAGGCTGCTTTTGATTCTTCTGTGTTCTTCAATTCAGAAATGGTATTCTTCATTTCCTCTTGTCTCTTATTGATAGTTTCTATGTCCTTTTTCATGCTGATATATTTTGCAATAAGTTCCTCATAATTTCCCTGTAGTTTTTTGTAATTCTCTCTGAGCTCACTGAGCTCATTGAGCCTCCTTAGAACCATTGTTTTGAACTCAATATCTGCTAGTTTACTTGCCTCTATTTCATTTAGTTCTCTCTCTGGGGATTCCTCCTTTCCCTTTGACTGGGGGTGTTTCTTTGTCTTCCCATTATTTGTGAGACTCTTCAGTTTTGCTCCTGCTTCTTAAATTTATCTGTCTTGATTTCCTGACTCTGTGGTGTGAACTTATATGGTAGGAGATTGCTGGGTTTTTTTTTTTCTTCTGGATCTGCCTCTGATGATGTCAGACGTTGACCCTGTCTGACTTTAGGCCGTCTGTTTGAGAATTCCAGGAATCTACTGTCTGTGGCTGTTTCCTTCAGTTGTTAATCTGGTCACTCTGCACTCAGCAGTCAGGTTTTAGCATCACTGGGTTAGGGAAGAGTCCCTCCTGGGAGCAGGACTATTGTGTCCTCTCACTGTGCTGCCACTCAGGGGAATGGTCTGCCTGGTCAAGATGGCTACTGCTGTCTGAGGGATAAGTCAGCATCAGGATCCCACCGGCTACTCTCTCAGACCTCTCCCCAAAGCCTCCTTCCCCAGTCTCTCTCAGGTGTCTCTAACCCACTCTGCCCTGTCTTTGCCAGAGAGACCAGGATAAGCAGCAGCAAATAAAAATTTATGCTTTGGCCCTTTAAAAGGCTCTTTGCATCTCTAGCCACCTGTTTCTGGCAGAGAACAACGCTGTCGCTTTTTGCGGTTGGTTGTTATCTATGTACTTTTGGGGCTCTGGTGCTGTAGTCTGTGGATCCCTGTTTATGGTTTAGACCCCACTCTTCTCAGGGAGAATCCAACTGTCTGTTTCAATATCCTTCTGATGCTGCCACCCATGGGCAATCCACCCACCTTCTCGAGTCTCTACCACACTCCTTACCAGTTAGGTTGTGCTAAAGCTGATTCTTCTGTCTGACCGAGATTATAAAGTTCCTCTCTAGCTATTGTTCAGTTGTTTGTCCCAAATAATTTCTCCACAATTTAGTTGTAATTCCAGATTGGTCCTGGGAGGAGGTCATTGCAACTTCCATTCACTCCTCCGCCATCTTGATTTCCTCTCAAGTGCACATTTCTATGATACAGGATCAATATTGCATTGCGTACCCACCACCCAAAGTCAAATCATCTTCCATCACCATGTATTTGGTCCGCTTTACCATTCATTACCCCGAACCCACTTCCTTCTGGCAACCACCATACCATATTCTGTCTATGAGTTGCAGTTTTGTATCCCACATGTGAGTAAAATCATATGGTTCTTAGCATTTTCTAACTGACTTATTTCATTTAATATGATGTTGTCAAGCTCCATCTGTGTTGTAATAAATGGCAGTATTTCATCTTTTTTTATGGCTGAGTAGTATTCCCTAGTATATATGTACCATATCTTCTTTATCTAGTCCTGTATTATTGAACAGTTTGTTTGTTTCCTTGTCTTGGCCACTGAGAATAATGCTGCAGTAAATATGAAGGTGCATGTATCTTTGAAAATAAATGTTTTCAAATTTTTCAGTAGATACCCAGAGGAGGGATTGTTGGGTCATATGGTAACCCAATTCTTAATTTTCTGAGGAACTTCCATACTGTTTTCCATAGTGGCTGTACCAGTTTACATTTTCACAGTGAATGAGGGTTCCTCTTTCTCCACAGCCTCTCCAGCAGTTGCTATTATTTTTCTTGTTGATAATAGCCATTCTAATAGGTGTGAAGTGATATCTCATTGTAGTTTTGATTTGCATTTCCCTAATGGCTAGTAAGGTTTAGCAACTCTTATATTTATTGGCCATTTGTATGTCTTCTTGGGAGAAGTGTCTGTTAGGTCTGCTCATCTTTAAATTGGTTGTTGTTTGTTGTTAAATTGTATGAGTTCTTTATGTATTTTTGATATTGATTCCTTGTCAGAGATTTTGTTTGCAAATATCTTCTCCTATTTAGTTGGTTGCCTTTTTGTTTTGTTTGCAGTTTCCTTTGCTGTACAGAAGCTCTTTAGTTTGATATAATCCCATTCATTTATTTTTGTCTTTGTTTCCTTTGCTTTTGGGGTCAAATTTATAAAATTTTCCCTAACATTAAGGTCCATAAACTTAGTACCTATGCTTTCTTCTATATAATTTATTGTTTCAGATCTTACATTTAGGTCTTTGATCCATTTTGAATTAATTTTTGTAAATGGGAACAAACTGTAGTCTGGCTTCCTATTTTTGTATGTGGCTTTCCAATTTTCCCATCACCATTTACTAAAGATGCTCTCTTTTCTCCATTTTATTTTTAGCTACTTTGTCAAAAATTATTTGCCCATATACATGAAATTTTATTTCTGGGCTCTCAATTCTGTTCCATTTGTCTGTGTGTCTGTTCTTCTGTCAACTGTCAACACCTTGCTATTTTTGATTATTATAGCTCTATGGTATAATTTGAAATCAGGTACTGTGATATCTCCAGCTTCATTCTTTTTTTCCCTCAGGATTGTTTTGACTATTCAGGATCTTTTTCACTTCCATACAAATCTGATGATATTTTTCTTCTATTTCTTTTAAAAATGTCATTGAGATTTTGCAGGGGACTCCATTAAATCCATATATTGCTTTGGTTAATATGGACATTTTAACTATGTTCATTCTTCCAATCCATGAACACAGAATATCTTTCCATTTCATTATGTCTTTTTCAGTCTCTTTTAATAATGTCTTGTAGTTTTCAGTATATAGGTCCTTCACATCCTTTGTTACATTTTTTTCCTAGGTATTTTATTCCTTTCATTGCAATTGCAAAAGGAATTTTTTTCATTACTTTTTCTGAAATGTCATTGTTAGTATATAGGAAAGCAGTAGATTTTTGTATGTTGATTTTGTATCCTGCAAATTTACTGTATTTATTTATTGTTTTTAATAGTCTTTTGGTGGAGTCTTTAGGGTTTTCTATGTAAAGAATCATGGCATCTGCAAAAAGTGACAATTTCACTTCATCCTTCGCAATCTGGATTCCTTCTATTTCTTTCTCTTGCCTGATTACTATAGCTAGGACTTCCAATACTATGTTGAATAAGAGTAGTGTGAGTGGACATCCTTGTTTTTTCCTGATTTCAGAGGAGAAACTTTTGGTTCTTCACCATTGAATGTGATACTGACTGAGGGTTTTTCATATATGCCCTTTATTATGTTGAGATACTTTCCTTCTATATCCATTGTTTTGTGTATTTTAATCATAAATAAATGTTGTATCTTACCAAATGATTTTTCTATATCTGTTGATAAGACAATATGACTTTCCTCCTTTGTTTTGTTAATGTGGTATATTACATTGACGAGTTTCTATATGTTGAACTATGGTTGTGCTCCTGGAATGAACCCCATTTGATCATGATATATTATATTTTTATGTATTTTATTAAATTTGCTAGTATTTTATTTTGGTTTTTTTTTTTTTTTTTTGCATCTGTGTTCATCAGAGATATTGGCCTGTAGTTTTATTTTGTGTGTATGTGTGTTATCCTTGCCAGGTTTTGGTATCAGAGTTATGTTGACCTCATTTGGTATTAGGAAGTATTGCCTCTTCTTCAATTTTTTGGAAGAGTTTGAGAAGGACAAGTATCAAATCTCCTTTGAATGTTTGGTAGAACTCACTAGGGAAGTCATTTAGTTCTGGACTTTTATTTTGGGGGAGGTTTTGGATGATTTTTTCAATTTCCTCATTGTTGATCAGTTTATTTATATATTGAAATTCTTCATGATTCAGTCTAGCAAGGTTATGTTTTTAGGAAGTTATTTTTTTCTTCTCAGTTATTGAATTTGGTGGCATATAGTCTTTCATAGTATTCTAATATGATCCTTTGTATTTCTGTGGCGTCTGTGCTAACTTCTCTTTTAATCCTGATTTTGTTTATTTGAGTCTTTTTTTTTCTTTAGTGGGTCTAGCCAGGAATTTGTCAATTTTATTAATCTTTTCAAAGAACCAGCTCTCTGTTGCATTAATTTTTTGTACAGTTTTTTTGTTTTCTGTTTCATTCAATTCTGCTCAAATTTTTATTATTTCCTTTCTTCTGTTGACTTTGGGCTAAGCTTATTCTTCTTTTTCCAGTTCTTTAAGATGTAATGTTAGGTTGTTTACTCGAGATTTTTCTTGTTTCTTAAGATAAGCTTGTAATGATATAACCTTTTCTCTTATTACTGTTTTAGCTGAGTCCCAGAAGTTTTGATAAATCATATTGTCATTTTCATTTTTCTCTACATATCTTTTGATCTCACCATTTGTTTTTGTTTTTTCAGTTTATTGCACGAAGGAGTTACACTAATCCAAGTTTAAAAAAAAAAAAGACCCTAAAAGGTTACATTGCACAAGCTGTGAGGTTTTTAAACTTGTGAAAAGGGATGGAAGGGAAATTCTACTCATTATAAGGAAATCTTCACTTAAACTTCAGTGAGCCAAAACACTTAAAACCCATGAACATTTAGCTGGTCGTCCTTAGACAGTCCCATCTCTAAAAGGAACTGGCATATGTTCTTGCACTGGTCACCTTGTAGCTGAATTACCTCTCTACGTTGTAGATGTTCAATTACAGCACCATTGCAGGCAAATTTCTTCTTAAACGCTTTTACTAGTTTCTTCTTATGGTATTCATCAGTGATCCACTGGAAGGTAGTAAGGGTTTTACTGCTGTTTCTCTGTTGAATTCTAACATGGCCATAATCCTGAGTGCTAGCAGGAAGCAAATTGTCATCCTTACTTGCATCAGCAAAGGGGTCTAAAGAGGGAAGGTTATGGATGGCAGACAAACAATATGATTCCTTTTTTTGGTGGAAGCAGTCTGCATAAAGCTGCGGCAGAAGAAGGAAGGCAGGGGATACTGGATGTCAGGAAGCAAGGGAGCTCAAGGGGGAGGTTGCTGAGTCCTCAGGGGCAGCTCAGTGACTGGGGCTGATCTCACCTTTTATTTCTTCTTTGACCTAGTCATTTTTAATAGTGTGTTGTTTAATCTCCACATATTTGTGGGTTATTTAAAAATTTAAATCAGTTTATCTGTAAAATTATGCTGCACTAGAAAGTAAATTCATTCCTTGGTTTCTCTAGATCAGGAATCAAAAATTTTCTCTTAAAGGGCAAGGTAGTAAATACATTTAGCTTTGCAGGCCAAAGGTTCTCTGTCACAGCTACTCAATTCTACTATTGTATTTCTAAAGCAGCTGTGATCCAATACATGTACTTACAAAAGCAAGCTGGGGGCCAGATGCGGTCCTTGAGCTGTGGTTTGCCAAATTCTGCTGTAGATGAAATCCCACAGATGCTGCTAATCCTGGGGTATAGGTTCCCACAAATCTCTAGCTCTACCAAAAGATGCAAATACAATCAATATTTTAATAGACTGGACAATAGAATTTACAGACCAACTTGATCCTTTCTCACTGCCCTCCAGCCTGTTCTACAAACTAATTTCTTTTCTCTCTGCTAGCTGAAATCTTAGGCTGGTCCCACAGCTTTTTTAGTCTCTCTTAGATTTTTTTTAAAAAAGTTTCTGCATACCTTGAGATAGAAAACAGTCCACTGCAATATTTTAGTCACATAACTCCATTTCTTATACAAATTCTTCCTTTCCTTTAGTGCCATTCTCCTCACTGAATCCTCTGGTCACTACAGCTTGTACCACTCCTCCAGTGTAGTCTATGGTCTGTGTGTTAATTTTGATAACATATACTGCCTTACAGCCTCATGTTTTATATTTTTTCTAATGATTGATAATATGTTCTAAATATTGTAGTCCCCAGACTGAGGAATCTCCCTCACCTCCTTATATCCTATCGGAAAGTCTCTTTGATTTTACTCTGAAATCATCCATCTCTCTCCCTCTCTAGTTACTATGCTGTACTATAACCATCACCTACTTCTGTGAGAACTGACATGGGCCCTAAGTTTATACATCATTCATTTCCTCTTGATCTTCTACTTGAATTATTATTCACTCTACAGTAAGAATAATCTTTGTTCTTCGGAAGGTGAGTGTGATCTTCCCTCCATACCAACCCAGTCTTTGCTCCCCAAAGTCCCTTTAAAACTTTTACTGACTTACCATTTGCTCTTAGAATTAAGACACAACTCCTTTGACTTAAAGATAAGATCTGCCTGATAGGACCCTCCCAACATTTCCAGGCCCACCTGGTCCTGAGAGAGGGTATGTGGCCAAACAGCTTTAATTGATAGAAGATATAGGAACTGTCAAAAAGATGGAAGACCATTGCCCACTGGATTTCTGGCCTAAATGTTGCAGAAACCAGCTCAATCCAACATGGCAACTAGTTTACCTAACAGTAACCTCTAGTCTCATTATATGCTTATTGCAATACATTAGCATGCTAAAGACATGCCCCACAAAAGCATAAAGTCCACATAAAGACACAAACTAGGCAACAGAGTTCTTCTGAGAAATCTCTACTTTTTTCCTAGGGAGATCCTGAATATCCTCTCCCACATGGACTACCCTATCCTGATTAAATGAACCTTAAAAAAAGAAACAAATTCCACTAAAAGGGGGCTGCTCTATCTGTGGAGTATCCCACTCTCTGTCTCACTGTTTCACTAAGTTCACTTTCACTTTAAAATCTATGCTGGGTCTCAGTTGAATTCTTTCCTGCACAAAGCCAAGAACCCACTGTGGATGGCAGATCCTTGGCTCCCCATACCCTGGAACGCTTGTGTAAGTCCCACCCTCCTATCATTCACACCCTTTCAGCCACACTGGTTATATTTTAATTCCTTATACTCATCTCTACTTCCTACCAGAAGTCCTTCACATGCTGCTACATCTGTCTGCACATCCCTTTCTCTGCACTTCCCTTCATTAACTCCTTTTAAACCTTCCTACTGTTACAATAGGTAGTTATTTAGTTAGTTATTAACAAAGTAAGGGAGCAAATGGAATCAGACATTAAGCCTGATTAACTAGGAGGCTGCATCAGGCATTAAGCCTAATTAAGTCTGGAAGCCATAGCTTCCAGACACTCCAGGGGACAGCTGCATTGCTTCACCAAGGGGATTAACATCCCTCCATCTCCCACCAAGTAGGGAGGAAGGACTGGCTTTCCAATCTTTCCTAGGGAACAATCAGCCCCTTTCCATAAATTACTGGAGGAAGGGATAAACCAGTAAAGTGGAAATCCCTCTGCTGAGGCATGTGCAGTAAAAGCCCATGTCCAGGCAAAAACTATGAGGCATGGCAGTAGGAGTCAAAATAATGACCATAAAGAGGAGTTTAGCCTGGGAAAATCTAGGAAAAACCCGGATAGGAAAAAGGAACAGAAACCTGGAAGGTACAAGAAAGGGATTGGATAAGGGGAAGGCCCAAGACAAGCCCACAAAGAATTAGGACAATTGGTTAGTTTTAAAGCAAGCTTACCCCTTTCCAAACCCAAGGAAATATAATCAAAGTTTAAAAGCAGTGTTCATTCATTTTCTCCCTCTGTGTGTGTAGCAGTAGCACCCGTCTGGGTGTCGCAACTGCGAGGCCGAAGCACAGTGCCCAAAGTGAGGGCGACAGAGACTAAGCTAGGCTGCTGAGACTTCAGATGCCAGTTCAGACTAAAGGCACAGCAGCTCTGGGTCCTGGCCTCTTCCTGGGTTTGGTGTGGCCCCAGAGGCTGGACTTACTCCATAGTGAGAGGGATCCGAACCACCTGGTTGTAGATGAGACATCAGGCACCTGGAGGCAGTCCTTTGTTTTCACTCTAATAAATCTTGCCTCAAGTCCTCCTGTGCAAGGGTCCCCAAACGCATTTCCAATGGCTCCGCAAAAGAATCTTATTACCACCAGCAACACTACCTCAGTTCAATTGTCTCCTCCCCCTATTTGACTTGAAAACATTTTGAGATGCCCTGATTGGTGTGGCTTACTGGGCTGGATATCATCCTACAAACCAAAGGTCACCAGTTTGATTCCCAGTCAGGGCACATGCCTGAGTTGCAGTCCAGCTCACTGGGTGGGGGTGTGCAAGAGGTAACCAACTGATGTTTTTCTCACACATGGTTCTCTCCCTCTTTTTCTCCCTCCCTTCCTGCATCTCTAAAAATAAATAAAATCTTTTAAAAGAAAACATTTTTGAGAAATACATTATGGACAAAAATAACACATTAACTATGTGTGTTTAGAGTTTTATTTGCTACTATTTTTCACTTGATTGTATTAGGTAAGGCGTTTTCATAAGTAACCAAAATTTCATATCAGACTGGTTTGAACTATTGAACACATTTCTTAATTTATAAGTTAGAAAATTTCAAAAGTACAGTTTTTTCTCTACTATACCAGCTTCTTTCTTTGCAGCTGGCTCACCTCTGGCCTTCACATGGGTTGGCTTTGTTCTCAGGCTCACTTTATTGTAGCAGCAAAAAAGGGCAATTCAGTTTCAGACTTTGTATACTTGTGCTACTCCATCCAGAAGGAAATTAAGAGAACACTTCTCACTAAATCATTAAACAGAAATCCTTAGTTTTGTTCTTGTGGCCCCACTTAGGGAAGATGACCCTCCTTATTGGTAGAGTGGGTGTGCCCATTGGCTTAAACCCATGTATGCTCACCCGGGAGGGAGCAGTAGGGGGTGGGATTTATTCTCTCTTGGCTCCAGAGCTGCTTCACTGAGGGAAAGGTTGATTTTCTAAACGAAAGATCAGCTTTCTGTGGCAAAATGAGCAGAGACCTGGGTGCCTGGAAAACTACCTACTGCATACCACAGTGATAAACCGAACATTCCCCCACTTCATTTAATCTAATCATGTGCTAAAACATTACATTTAAAATCTTCACAGTTGCTTTGGTGTGATGTTCCAGCCCATGAATCCCATGAATATAACACCTTCATTTTATTAGTTAGACAAGGAAGTTACTTCCAATGTTTTGAAATATTACTGCAATAATTATTCTCCCTCTCTTCCTTTGACTAGGTTCATCTTTCTCTTCACTATATTCACTTTATCTATTATAAATAATACTAGATAAACATGTTTGTGCATAAGTATTTTTCTACCTCTCTGACTATTTTCTTAGAATAAATTTATAATGATGAGTTAATGGGTCAAAGGCCAAGATTATTGAAATATAAATTTTCCTTCAAGGAGATTGTACCACTTTATATTGTACAACAGACACTCGGTGTGTGACTGAGCTAGCTTCTTGACATTCTTTCTAATTAACACAACTCCCACCCCCCACTGCCATCCACAAGTGTCAAGTTTCCTATCACCTCTGTGACTTTCTTTCTACTGTATTCTCAGCCTGGTTAACTCAACCTCCCTTCCAATGCTTATTACCCACCTCTGCCAGCTTCTGTTTGTTCTAAGTTTCTGTCATATTTCTGGCATCTCACCAAATATAATCCATTGTAACCATTTGTCCATTTGTTCTTCTCTTAAACTAGGCAATGAATTATTTGATGAAAAGTACTGTTTATTAATATTCAACCCTATAACCTCACTACTTAACATTGTAGTGTAGGACATACTGTGTTTAAACTACAAACACATGGAAGCTGACCATCCTCATAGTATAATCCAAGGATGATCCATCAATCCCCAAAACTTTGTTGTTTAGTTCAGCCTGGTTCTAGTGTGAGTCTCTCAGGGCTCTCCCAGGTCTGGAGCAGAGAGTTCCTCTCCAGAGTACCACAGGGCTTGGCCAGTTATGAATGGCCACCCAGCCAATTTTTTAAATATTACTGTCACCTTCAGGCTTTGAAAGTAGCAAGAGATCATCAGATCAGGCAGATGAGGACTTGGAGCTGGCTGAGCTCTAAATCAGATGTCATTTCAATCTTTTTCCTCCAGGACCTGTTTACAA